AGTGAATGAGCCGAAGTTACACCTCTTATGCGTGAGTTACATGAGGAAACTAATCTTGTATGTGATAACGTGGTGCGACTTATATTTTGCTTAAACTGTTGTATAATATCGTCCAGAACCTCAGAATCTTGATTGGGTATCGAAATTACGCGAAACTCTTTCGGAAATTGCGCTTACAACTACGCTAATCGTTCTCACCTAGAAATGCCCGAGATTAATTCTCATCGAAACCGCTGATTTCGTGGATTTCGTGAGCTCCATTGTTCAGTTACGTGCGCGTGTCCGCCCGCGGGCTACATAGAAATCATGAAGAAACTATCATTATTGATTTTGTCTTGGTGGTCTGGTCTACAACAGAATAACCCACAAGTTATCATATTAATTTGTCTGGCTTTCAAATTTCTTCGCCATCTTGTTTCATACACATAATGGGACACAGTAACAAGAACACTTTCCAATTTTTAAACCAAAAAAAATCTACTTGTTCGCACAAAAACTTGATGTGAAACGGATGTACATAAGATCAAAATTTGAGGGAGAGGGGCTTTCGCATATAATCGATTTGTCATTTCCAATTCAACTGTGACAAAACCAACTGTTTAGTTTCAACCAACTTGCTCGTACGAAGACCAGTTTATGGTACAAACAGTGGCATAGACATGATCGGATACGGTGGCACATGCTCATTTTTCATCGCTCTCCTCCCATCAGGGCTCAATTGGTACCGGTCTCGGAACCAGGGTTCATGTTGTGGGCCATGGGGACCGTTTGGGCCATGGGGACCGTGTGGGTCACCGAAAATTTCCATAGGTTTTATGACCTCGGGTCCTTGTTTGATCCAATCTGGCCACAGTTTAGTCCCAATTGGTCCCATAAAGCCCATGAACGGATCACCAATGAACGGATCGCCCATTCTCGGATGCATTGGTTTCTTCTCCTTCTCCAACGGATATGGGTGATGCGGATGGGCCGGTTTCATTCCCCAATCAGGCTGATGATGATCAATCATAAACGGTGGTTTTTTCTCTGTCGTATCAAACCCAAAATCGTTTCGAATCGGTGCATTTGAATCTTCTCCTACGGGCATGGGAAAACTGGTCATATCCATGAAAGGTTTCTCATGTATATGTCGATTCAAATTTTGCAACCGTGTGATCGATTCTTCCAATCGCATAGAATCGGCCAATTTTTTGTCACAATCCGGTTGCTCACTGTAGGAACAGACCAGATAATTACTCAGATGTTTGTATAACCATTCAAATGGTCTCAAATGATCCCGTTGGAACGTGTCCCGTCGTGATGCTGTCGGTCGCATAGGTACTTTCATTCCGGGCACATCTTTGAACATATTGGTTGGTTGAATAATTGTTTGTGTGTTCCCGTTCGAAACGGCGGTTTGTTGAATTTGTTTCGGGCTCTTGGTTGTTGTTGTTGTTGTTGCTGCTGCTGCTGCTGCTGCTGCTGCTGTTTTGGTTGGTGCAGAAATCCCAGTGGAGATCAGGAGAGAAAACAAGGTCACCCGCAGAACCAAGCCTGCCCGAGACATCGTGAGAGTTGTGACAACGCGTTATCGCGCAGAAACTCAAAATGACCAAATGTGACACAAACAGCGAGTTCAGACTGCTGACCTTGAGTAGTAACGATTCGTCATCGATTTCAGCCGGGACTGACGCCACTACAGCTAGGATCAATTGACACAATCTGGGTGCATATCATTGCGTCGAATGCACTCTAGACAATCGAAATGGCCGTCACAGAGCAATCATCATTGATCGAATTCCATGAAATTGTTTTTTCAATCATGTGACTCACGAAGGCGATTGCAGTACGATTTTATTTCATTAACAGAGGATTTTCTGATGAATTGAACATCTGAAGAATACCACGGGAAATTGATTTTAGAGACGGGGAATGAATTGATCAATTTACGAAAGAAAAGTATCTTATCGATCACATGATTACATCAAATGATGGCATATATGATAGGAAATAAGTTGGGTTCTCGAGTGCGTACTACACTTTTTAGCAACTCATCGTGACAGTGCATGAAGATGATATTGTAAGAGCTTAAGTCAAATTACCGTTATCAGTAATTTATTTAATTATTTGTTTTTGACTCAAATTTCTATCCACTTGAATTTAGAACGATGGAACTGTTTCCCACCTCGAACCCAAAGACGGAACTAAACCTTTACGGTTCATCTTGTTCCATATACGGGAATAGGCACCACTGGACAACTTTTAATGCATCAAAATATGCTGAACAGTTATAGATGAATAGATTCCCCACTTAATTGCAAGACCATTTTGCCTTGCCTAATGGGTTTGTAAATTTCAAGGTATCCCTCTGGTCTCTCGCTTCTTCCTGTGGATAGAGTTCATGCGGGTTTTAACGCGGGCGCATGGGTTGAATGGCCACTACAAAACATCATAATATTATAGTCATTTTACACCTAGACAGGCACACACAAAAACCATCCATTCTACCCGTTACTTGTAATCTGTATTGCCTCTTTTCAATTTCGATACAGTTTGAAAATCATCTCGGGACGTGTTCGATTGAACGGACGAAGCCAGGAAGACCAAAATCGTCACCACGAGTGCACATCTAAATCGAGCTGAATCACACACCATGGATTCACCCTGTTCGCTGACGGGGACCTAAATCCCATGTCGATTGGAATACTGGGAACCGAATGAAATAAAGCCGCTTTCGTTTGTTATACCGCGGGATAACAAACATATATATATGATAATAAGAAGTATGTGAATGACTGGACAAAATTTCCCTGGAAGCACACGACCGGTTTCGCGGTTCTTGCCGCTCGTCAGACATGCGTATCCGGTAATCATACATACTACTTATTATCAAATATTCCACCAAGACCATCAGGTCAGGTTGCGGTTAGTAGCATCTAACCCACTTACAAAACATCGAATCATAGCATTGATTCTTCATTGGACTGGCTCTGAAAGAGCTGTCTATCCAATGGTCACCCGGCGTTGCAAACAAGGTTATTGTGACGAAATATATATATATATATCAGGTTATTGTAAAGAAAATACACTTCCTGGGTACAACTATATGAATGAACTGACAAAAGATTACCGGGTACGTATGCCTGACGAGCGGCAAGAACCGCGAAACCGGTCGTGTGCTTCCAGGGAAATTTTGTCCACTCAGTCACATACTACTCATTATCAAATATTCCACCAAGACCATCAGGTCACGTTTGTTGCGGTTAGTAGCATCTAACCCACTTACAAAACATCGAATCATAGCATTGATTCTTCATTGGACTGGCTCTGAAAGAGCTGTCTATCCAATGGTCACCCGGCGTTGCAAACAAGGTTATTGTGACGAAAATACACTTCCTGGGTACAAGTATATGAATGAACTGACAAAAGATTACCGGATACGCATGCCTGACGAGCGGCAAGAACCGCGAAACCGGTCGTGTGCTTCCAGGGAAAT